CTTTGCAGAAGTGCTGAGGTGAGAACCATAAAGGAGAACTTCACATAGAACAGTCCAAGTCTGCGTGCCAGTTTGGTCCCAAGTTTTTTCCAGCCACCTTTTCCACTTTGGAGGAAATAAAGGATAGAGACCACAAAGGTAAAAAGCCGTGGTAAGCGTAGCTTAATTGTCCTCTGATGCTCAGCAGTCCTGTGATCTTGAGCCATAAGAAACACCTCCATTCTGTGCTAAAAAGAGGGGCAACTAGCTGTAAACCAGCACTGAAGAAAGCTAACTTTTAAATGACTTATACCTTTACACACTATAAATTCTTATATGCTGAAAGTCCAGAGCAATAGGAGAGTCTCTGTAACCTAACTATTGGACATGGCTTAGCCTATTCTGAGCAACATAGGGACAGGTAGACTTGTTACTGGTGCTGCTTGTTTTTGCAGGGCCACAAGATTGCTAGGCAGCTGTGTTACCACGGAGCTGCGTCCTCAGCCCTTGCTGCTGTGGCACCCTCTGAGTTATAAGGCAATGATCACGCACAGGTAGTAACCAGAAACATCCTACAAATACAGAAAATTCAGCAAGAAAGAGTAGCCATATTAAACTCTCTTCCCATATAAAGAGGAAACATGGAAAAACATACATGTGTCTGTTTATATGTTTTAAAAACAAAGCACACAAGGGGTAAACTAGGGAGACTGGGAAAGAACGTGTGCTAACCAGCAAAGGGGGATAGGAACAAAAAGGGAAGTGGTAAAAGCACACTGTCACTTCTTGAAGTACCGCTCTGCACACTTTGGACTTTAGAACCATATTAACGCTTCACGTACTCAAAAACTAAACTGTTGTTATAACACTAGAAAGTGTGTCTCAGCAAAAGGACCCGTGCGTGGCAAAGCAAGAAATGTCACCATTAGTAGCCATCAGAGGCTGACGGGCAGTCTCTGTCCTGGCAGAGAGTCAGCAGACCTGGGTGGGGAGGCCAGACACCCCTGGGCCGTGCCTCACAGCTTCCAAGAGCTTCCAAGGGCAACAAAAATAGCCAACAAGTCCAACAAGTATTTCCTGGAAGCTTACTGTGTGCTAGCTGCTAGTCTAGGCTCTGGGGTCAGGGCTCTAACCAGAGACCCAGAGCCTAAGTGTAATGGAGTTGGTTCTGTAAAAATTGGCACCCAGGTTAGGAACAGTGGGTTCCCTCTAGGCTCACAGTGCCCAGTGACAGACCTTACTGGGAACTACCTGTCATGTGTCACTGCACTTTAAAGCGTGTGTAGCTACTGCACTCCTGAGAAGTTTGGAGAAAAAGATCTTTACTGACTCACAGTGAGAAGAGATTCTATAAATATCATGAACAAACTCTGTTTGATTGTGCAAATCATCGCCCTGCACAGGACTCAATTAAAATTCTATCTCTGGTGCAAGCGTGCAAGTTCTAAGAAAAGCCTTGTTCCCCTCCTTTCCTGTGTTGTCAGAGCTCCTGCCCATCGTAGGTGCCCAGAATACTCAGAGGACTTACGCGTTGGTTTGCACTTTCTAAAGGGGACTTGGAGGGCAGGGATAACACGCCCACTTCCACTTTTGATAGAGGCCATCCGCAGGTCATATTAGGAACAGAGGTGAGAACGTCTCCACTCATGAGCAAGGGACACACACACACACACACACACACACACACACACACCCTCCACCCCACAATGCACCCGGCAACTCCAGGACTGCACAGAGCCCTTTCCAGGTGGCCCTTTCCAGGTGGCCCTTTCCAGGTGGCTGGCGCAGGATCGCGAGGCCTCCGCGCAGCTGAGCAACCTCTAATGGAGCCAAATTGGCCCGCGATAGGACAAATTTGGGTTAGTGGCTGCACTCCCAGCCCGGAGCACCCTGGCGCTGGAAGGAGTGGAAGGAGGACCGACCTCGAGGCCACAGCTCTGAGTCTTGAGTCTCGAGCTGCGGGAGGTGACTCGGAGAGGATAAAACGCAGTGCCCAGATGGCGCCGGGAGCCAGGCGGATGAGGGACGGTCTCTGTCCCCCAGAGATTCGGCAGGCACGACAGGAATACGGCTCCCCGAGCCTCCCCAAATTCCAGTCTGGCCCCAGACAGGAGAGAGCGGCAAGCCTTTTCACCACCCAGATCTCAGCTGTTCCCAGCAGTAAACAAAGGAGCCAAGAGCTAGAACGTAAGACTAAGATTTGGTCACGGGGCTTTTGATAGCACCTCCCAGGGTGTCTTTTTCTCCTCTGACTTCCTATCTCCAGTCAGCCCGAAAGTTTGCATGGAGAATTTCACCCTGTGCTAAGGTGTCGAGGGTAGTTAAGCGCTTTAAGTTTTAACGTACAGTCGCCCCGCCTCCTAGTCCCAGACCTAGTCCCAGGAAGGCAACGAGCAAGCCGAGCGTGTCTACAGCTCTCCCGAAGGCGAGGGAGGGGTGGAGCGCCTGGCGGCCACCAACCCACACCTCCAACTTTCTCGGTCCACCCTGCGCAGTGTGTCTCGTGATTGGAGTAAATACCATCAATCCGACCTTGCTGTACACCTGGGTAGGGCAGGAACTTTCTAGCAAGTCGGGGTCCAATTCGTTTTGATGAGCCCCAAGACATTTGATTCATTAATGTCTCTCTTACATCCTGAACAAATAAAATATGGACTAAGGTAACGGTACAAAGATTAAAGGCACAGACATAAAGGCAAAAAAGTAAAGTCTTATTTACAGTGGTGGAAAAAATCAGCTACTAATTGTCTAAAAGTATGAACAGTTATGGTCCATTCATTACACAGATTATTGGATTGTTATTTTAAATTATACTTGAAAACCTAATGAATTACTGAACGTGCTTATGAATGAAATTCGGACATATACAAATCCATACAGCCTGTGAGCACATATATGCAAAAATAAAGAGACAAAAATTCATTAAAATGTTATCTCCCAGTGAATGTTTGCATTCCAGCTTTTCTCTAGTTTTCTTTTTTTTTTTTCCAAAGGTATACATGATGACCTTAAAGTCAGAAAAATAACATTGAAGGCTGGGGAGACAGCTCAGTGGTCTAAGCGCCTGCTTGGCAAGCACAAGGACCCAGGTTTGATCCCCCTGCATAGCGAGACCCTGTACCAAATAAATAAGCAATTAATTTTTTAAAAAGAAAAAGAATTGAAATAAATACATGTGTTGCTACAAGATTTTGAGATCTGAGAGAAAAGAGGGACTATTAAAAAAAGCAAAGAAGAAAGAAAGAAAAGCCTTCTAAAAGGTTTATTGTTTTTGGCAAGATGCTATCTGGGGACACAGTTGGGACCAGGAGCAAGGTCCCCTTGGGCCTCACCTCCACTTCTCCTTATGGGGGAGAGCATTGTGCTGTGCTCTGTGGATCCAGCTTCATTGTGGAGATTACAAGATACCACTGTGAAATCCTGACTCAGGGTAGCATGGTGGAACACCTTGCAATTGTGTCTGAGTGTCTCCGTGCAGAGCTGCCTGTGAGCATGCGCTGCGGGGTTGAGAGGTGAGTGTTAACTCTCAAACAGTTCCCCTAACACTGAACCCCCATACAAAGGTTTAACAAACATTTGATCTGAAACAAAAGCAACTCTAGTAAGATTGCTCTTTAATTTCAAAAAGTTTAAAAAAAAAAACAAAAAACCAACTAGATTCCAAATCCCTTGGCACCAAGTCATGTTTTTTTCTGGCACTAACCACAGGAGTGAGTTTCCGGTGACAGTGACAATTTCACACATATTCTCTCATTACATGTTTCCCCAAGTTTCTGATGATGGACACACTAATATCTCCATTATATTTAGTTTCAGTACTGAGTATTGAACTCAGGCACCACAGCATGGAGGTTCATCCTCACCTCTCTTCTTTCAAGCTTTTATTTTGAAATACAATATCGCTAAATTGCCTGAGCTGGACGCTTGGAATCCTCCAGCCTCATCCTCCCAAAATTCTGGGATTATAGGTGTGGGCCACCATGCCCAATTTATCTCCTTTTTATAAAAATGAAAATGGAGCTTGAGAGGTTAATACTTTGCCCTCCCACTCGTAGTTCTGCCCCAGGACAAGAAGTAGATCTGTCCACTGTCCGTCAGGGCCAGCCTCACCAAGCAGCACCAGCGCTAGCCAAACCTTCGCACCCTTAGGCGGCGCTGCGTTTCTACGCCTCCCACCCTCAAAGCAATCAGTTTGAGGGAAGACACAAGGGAGTGAAAAGGAAATCGCGACCAGAAAGGCGAGGTGGTCCCCTCTCCCTATCCTTTTCAAGGCCTGGCTGTTTGTTACGTCCCCCCTTTCCAACCCTTCTGGAGAAGACCTGGGCTTTTCCAAGCGCAGCCCTACGCCCCATTTCCGCTGCTCTAGAGGGTCGGATCTCCACAGACCTCCTGGCGGCGGAGCCTCTAGGCCCCGGGAACCGGCTCCCAGCAGCCTCGAGCTGCGCTGTCGGATCAGACTCCCACGCACACCTGCAAGCTGCTGCTGCCCAGCTGCCTTCACCTCCGTCTTCTCCCCTAAGACTGAAGACTGGCGAATCGCTCCTCAGACGGACTGACCGGCTTGGGTGGCACAGAAACAACTCCACCCCCATCGCGCACACCCTATATGAGGGTTCCAGGGAGCCCGGGTGGACCCCAGAACCCTCTCCCGTACCGTGCGTGTGGACCACGATGCGAGCCGCGCACAGCACAGTCTCTCCATGCTTGCTTTGACTTTAGAGTCTTCATACAACGTCCCTGGAAGGTGACCTGGGATTTGGGAGGACTGGAGGAGCTTGGAAGGGGCGCGCTTGGGAAGGAAAGGGCCGGGTCAGCACGTGGTCTTTGCAGGAACCAATGGGGGGCCGCGGGGCCGCAACGGGCCCTTGGATCCCAGCCCACAGAGAGAGCCCAGAGGAAGGCGCCTAAGGTTCGCTGGCTGTGCGTCCCAGAGCTCGATCAGTCTCTCCTTTACCGGAGCAGCTCAGACCCTGTGCTGCGCGGTACGCTGACTCCTCGGCCCCGCCCCCTCTGCCTGCGGGATGCCGCTGAGCCGGGTCACCTCCACCCCCTTCTCCGTCAATGACATCTTGCGGCTGGAGCGCCAGCAGGGCGACCTGGAAGTTTCCCCATCATGGGGATTGCGGGGGAGCCCAGAAAACCCTCGGAACCTGGAAGTGGGCCCGCAACCGCGCGAGCAGGAGGTTCACAGCGCCTGTGGTATGGGCAGCAGAGAGGGAGAGCAATCGGATGCTCGTGGGGGTCCCTACGGGACAGTGATGGAAATGCTTACGGATCCGATGGGCGAGTCACGTGAGTAGATGCTTCGTCCTCTTTCCTAAGGGAGATAATGAGGGAGCGTGGGCTCAAGCCTCTTACTTTCCTGGGCTCCTGGACCACCCCTCCCCACCCCACCACCCCCCACCCGTTTTCCCTCTTCATTTGAAGAATGCAAAGGGCAGGCCTCCCAGACGCACCACACACGCACACGCACACTCACTCTGAGCTTCGGGTCCTGCCGCAAACAAAGCCCTGAATCTCAAGATGTACTTCCCAAGCAGCCCCTCCGGTTCCCATGCCACTGTGCGGCTCCTCATTCCCAAGTAGGGTCCACTAAAGGTGTCCTAGCTGTGCTCCCTCGCCACCACCTCTCCCTGCCTACCCTACACCTTCTGAAAACAAAAACAAAAACAAAGTCCGGCAGCCACCAAAGCAGTGGGTCCTGTCCTACCCACCCTTTCAAGGGCACGGACAAGCGAGGAAATCCAGAGGTGATGATCAGGTGGTGTCAGAGTTCTTCAAACTGGAGGCCCTACCTCAGGGTCCTGGAGCCAGGTCCTCCATGTCAGGGAACATGTTCAGACTTCAGCTGGCCAGGAGACCTCTCTGAGTCCTGGCACCATGCAGCGCAGGATGGAAGTCCCTGGCACCTGTGCCCAGATTGCAGGAAAAGGAGAAGACAATGTTGAATCACTTTGCTGGCTTCTATGAACCAAGACGATGGCCAGAGAGGCCTGTCTTTCCCGGAGCTGAAAGCCTCACCTTCCTCTCAAGCCTTCCCCTGCTAGGCTCTATGGGGCTCCTCTAGTCAAATCACAACTTACCTGATTAAATGCATTGTCAAAGCTTAAATTCACGTTTTATACAAAAGTGGGATCAAAATGGTTTATTCTTTTTTTTTTTTTTTTTTTTTTTTTTTTTTGGTGGAACCGGGGATTGAACTCAGGTCCTTGTGCTTGCCAGGGAAGCGCTTATTCCACTAAGCCATCTCCCCGGCCCCCCTAAAATGGATTATTCTTTTTTTAAAAAAGCCAGCTAAATAAAAGGAAAAGACTCCTTTGAAGATGTGTGTCAACTAGCAGCCGGGGTTATTGACTGATTCAAGAAGCCTGGCGAACACCAAACTTTGTTGTTTTCGGAGCTCCTGGGTTTTCTGCCGCGGACTCTAAAAGCAAATTTCCAGGATGCTGTCACGTACCTTGGCTCTCACGTGGGCTCCGCTGAGCAAAGGTTGCCTTCCTGGGTCAGAGTTGCCTTGGAGAGCAAGGTAAGCACAGTGAGACCCATGTAGAGTATGAGGGCCACAGGAACTGAGCCCACGGCCAAATGGCCATATGGCAAGGCACCGTTGTGGCTTTGCTGGGCTTCCCTACCTCTTCTGGAGCCATCCTGCCTTCTAGGAGGAAAAGCAGAGAGGACTCCAGAGCCACACCTGAGCATTGACAGTGCAGGCCTGCGCAGGGTGCGGGCACTCACCTGGGGTGCTGCACAGCTCTCTGACTTTCCAGTGACCTTTTTTGGGGGGTCTTTTTGAGACAGGGTTTCATCTACGCAGTTCAGGCTTGTCTTGAACACTTTGTAGCCCAGCCTGGTCTCCAGCTCACAGTGATCCTCCTGCTTCCACCTCCCCAGTGCAGAGATTACAGGCAGTAACTTTGTAAAGGTCCTTTGCTTGCTCCACAGTGTCGCAGGAGATCAATTATGTTTGGATGTGCTAAGAAGACCACCTTCCTCTGCATTTTCCCTTTTCAGTATACTTTGTTTCTCTAAGATCAGGAATCTCTGAAGGAAGTTTTTCTATCCTCACATTTTAAATACAAACAGCCTTGAGCCCCATGATGTTGGGCAGCGGCAGTTGAGGATTATGAGCGGAGTTCCTACCGCACAGACTCTTTAATCATGTGCTGTTTGCTGGAGGGAAGAACCTGCGCCTCCTGGGACTGGCCGCCTCTGAGTTCCCCTGGTTCTGGCCTGAATTTTCAGGGCAACTTCAGTTTCCTCTCGACTTGCCCTGAAGGAAATAGTGACAACAGGAGAGCAGTGAGAAGCAGGGAAGGGCAGGCTGCCTCTTAGTCTGCCGCAGACACAGTGTCACCATCTTGCCAGGAAAGAGGACTTTGAGGTGACTCCGGAGCCATTCCCTGTCCAGAACGGCCCCAATGGGAGAAGAGGCAGCCCCATTAAAAAGCCAAATGTGGGTCTCAACTACATTCCCTCAGCGGAAGCTGTTTGAAGCCCAGCATCTGGAGCACACAATATTTGATTTAATTTTATTTCATTATTTCGAATTCAGAATAACGCACTGGCAAACGACCACCTTACACAGCCCAAGAAGAAAATGCTCTATCTAAGAGACCACTTCGAGGAATCCACAGTACACCAGAGACTACAACTTGTTCTGGCAGGTTCAAAAGCAACCGAGCTAGGGGTAAATGAACTGCAAAGGCTCTTGGCCTGGGGTTTGGGGCCATGAAAGGGAGTATATAGTGAAGGTTTGGGCAGGGCTCCTCTTGAAAACAAAGAATTGCTCTGGGGAGCCTTTTAGCTTAGGTCTGCTGCTAAGTAATTCTTTCCTGTGCTTTTAGAGCCCGACCCGGCCGTGTTCTTACACCTTGGCAGCGGTAACAGCCCAGAACTGGAGTTCAGCGTTGGCCACAGCGGCGACCGCGTGCGCTTTGGTGGCCCCGAGCGGCCCAAGACGCGACAGCGGCGGAAGCCACGCGTGCTCTTCTCGCAGGCTCAGGTGCTGGCCCTGGAGCGGCGCTTCAAGCAGCAGCGGTACCTGTCGGCGCCCGAGCGCGAGGGCCTGGCCAGCGCTCTGCAGCTCACGTCCACGCAGGTCAAGATCTGGTTCCAGAACAGGCGCTACAAGTGCAAGCGGCAGCGCCAGGACAAGTCGCTAGAACTTGCCGGCCAGCCCCTGGCGCCGCGCCGGGTGGCAGTGCCCGTGCTGGTGCGTGACGGCAGGCCCTGCTTGGGCCCGGGGGCTCCTGCCTTCCCCAGCGCCTACGCGGCGGCTGCGGCGCCCTATTCCTGCTACGGCGGTTATGTGAGCTCCCCCTACGGAGCAGGATACAGCGCTGGCTACGCAGGACCCTGCCCCACAACGCCCACCCCGCCGGCCAGCTCCGACTTGGGGCACAACGGCGCGGGCGCCACCCCGCAGGTCCATCTTGCCGCCACCCTGCGGGACGTCCGAGCCTGGTGAGACCACGGTTGGCCCGGCTCCACCGCAACTCCGCGCCGGGTGCTCGGTCCCCTCCCTCGCTCCTGTCGCGCTGTCTGGGACGGGAACTGCCCTGGAGGAGCAGTCCCCAGGGCCGAAGAAGATCCTCCCCCAAGGACATCTCGCAGGAAGCCGTAGGGCGAGGATCCAAGGTGGCTGCAGTCTCTGAGTAGGCGCAGCACCGAGGCTGCTGACTTTTCGGGGCTCGACCCCTGGGGCCCTGAGCCGCTCTTGGGTTGCGTCTGCAGCAGGCCCGAGCCCTGGGAGGTGCAGAGAGTGTAATGTCCAAGGGCTCCGTCCTCCAGCAAAGGAACTGCGGGGATGGGGGACAGAGGAGAGGGAACGGGAAGAAGCAGCTAGGCTCCAAAGGGTTCAAACTGAGACTTGGAGCCACGCTGCAGCTAGGGATGCTGACGACTCTGGGGAGAGCGCGCTTCCTGGTCCTGCAGCGCTCCCGGAGGCAGCGGCTCCATCCCGGCTCACTCTCATAGCCTTGCGTTTTCCGTCTTGCACTTAGCGCTGCATCACAGCGGGAAGACAGCGTGGCCTAGGTGTGTCAGCGTCGGGGTAGCCGTTAGCATCCGGTCGGCTCTGAACAGCTTCATGTTGAAGCGCAAGCTCCTGGGAGACAAAACGGACGGACGGAGCCCTGCGGGTGGGTGGAGTGCCTGACCGCGACTCTCCCACCTGCGTTCCCTCTCCTTGGGTTTTCTTTGAGGACAGGATTGGTTTCTAAATTATGCATTGGAAAAGGAGGTTCCGACATGGTTGTAAGTCCTAAAAGATACCCAAAACCTAGTTTTAAACTCTCTGAAACCATGGAAATCTGACGTCCTCATTTCCCTGTCCCGATGTCCCGCGAACCGAAGATGGAAAACAAACTCAGCGTATTCATGGGAACACGGGATCCAACAGGAAATTATCCTTGGCCAGCCGAGTTTAGTAGGAAAATCGAGAACCTTGCTGTAGACTTGGCAAAGCTTAGATTCTACTATTTAATAAATCTTCGTGTTTAATTAAAATATACCGCACATGCTTTTTCTCTCTTGAATAGCCCCTGATTGTTTTTAAGGGAAAAAAAAAGGAGTTTTTTATGCAAATCGTCCACATCCTTTAAATTTATGTTCTCAAGCTAAAAGAAACAAGAATAACTGTTACATTCCTCACATTTTCACTTTTTGTTTTCATCTCTTCTATGTTTTCCATTTCCACTGCTAATAAAAATATATTTGGAAATACATCCCAGCGTCTTTCAGCTGTGCCCCTGAGATTTTAAAAAATGTCATAAATATATTTCAAATTCAATTAAGCTAAAAGACAAAAGCTAGCTAAAGTCTCCATCATGTGACAGTTGTTGTACCACATTAAATGCAATGTTGCCCGTCAGTTGTTACCTACGTAAGTATATTACATTTTTCTAAGATCAGATTCCAAAATAATACATACTAAGTTTTTAAAATCTCCTGAGTTAGGGCAAGTAAAGACTTCCACATCCTTGTTACACTTTGGGGTTTTTTTTTTTTCTCGATTTTTGTAACTTTCTTTTTACCGGGATGAAGCACCTGGAATGGGAAGTGTCACCATGGGGTCCTCGCTTTTGGGTCCCACCTGGAAAAGCACTGGAAGAAAGTGATGTACAGACCTGAGTGAAGGGAACAGAGGAGGCTCAGCTCAGTCACCGGGACCTGAGCGTGGGGCATGGGGCATCGCTGTGCAATCCTGGTAGGCTTACTGGAAAACCAAATTTTGGCTGCTGCCCTGGCCCTTAAGGACTGTGTCATCTTCCCGAAACAACAAAGACCAACAGGAGGAAGGTGCCTAAAAAAAAAAAAGGTGGTGTGTGCTGGGCATGAAGTAGGCGGAGAGCCCATGCTAGAGAGGTAAGATGGGGCGCTGGCTGCTCAGGGCCACCCCCAGGAGAGGCAGGTTAAGGTGGGTGATCAGTGCGGGACGATATTCCCCGCCCGCTACCCCCCAGGACAGGGAGTTCTATGGCTACGAAATGAAGACAAGTGAAGGGACAGCAGAACTGTATTTTACAAGAATTTGGTACACCAATCAGAGCTAGCACCTGAGAGCTTATAAATTGCACTTAGTGACTGGGACATGGGGCTTGTTTACTTGGGCATCCAAGATCCTTCCATTGCTCTCTCTCTCTCTCTCTCTCTCTCTCTCTCTCTCTCTCTCTGTCTGTCTCTTTCTCCCTCTTCCTCTGTCTCTCTCTCTCTTCCTCTCTCCCTTTCTCCCTCTTTGTCTCTGTCTCTCTCTGTGTGTCTCTGTCTCTGTGTGTCTGTCTTTCGGTCTGTCTTTGTCTCTCTGTCTCTGTCTCTCTCTGTCTGTCTCTCTGTCTCTCTGTCTCTCTCTTTCTCCATCTCTCTCTCGCTCGCTCTGTCTCAGCTATGCCAACAGCATGGCCAGACCTGAGCGATGCCCCTCTCACCCGCGGGGCATACCATAAAGATCACCGTGGGACCCACAGCTTTGCAAAGCTCTCCCAGCTGTTGTAGCATACCTGTGTAGATGCCATTTATAAGTAAAACCTCTGGACTGAGTGCAACTCATGTGGGTTTTCTTTTTTAGCAAAGAAGTTCGAGCATCATAAGATTTCTTTCCTACAGGAAAGACAAGCAAAGGAAAACTCTGCCTGCCAGGCAGACTCTACAGCCATCCTCCCACCCCAGCACACCCACCCCCAGCTGCCAGTCTTCCATCTCTGTAATCTCTCCTTCCCACTGAAAGCTGCTGCTCTTTGTGTGTGTGTCTCCTACCGACAACTGCTTATCCTCAACAGGGCTTTTACCAGGGAGCCACTCTGTAAGCAATGAGTCTCTTATCTGCATCCTTCAGTCCCGTCACTCCAGCCACCTCTTAATGTTCACAAGTCCCCCAAATGGGAAGTAATCGACCTCTAAACAAAACAAAAAAGCTCTCAGAGAGATAGTGGGGGTTCCCTTCCTGACTGTCCCAGGGCTGGGGTCTCACCTAGGCCAGGTGGATAAGTCAATAGATTTGCAGACTTCCTGGCTCCCTGTCCTTCCTCTCCCCACCCCACCCCCTCCAGCCAGCTCTTTCCGATACCATCTGCAAGTCCAGGGGGAACAAGGGTTGTTAAGGGTTTGGGGCACTTATTTTTATGAAGTAATCATTATTACCATTAGCACCATGATTTGGTGGGATATGTTTAATTATTTAGAAAAGTCATTAGAAATGTATCTAGAATGCCCAGCATTTTTACCAGTTCTTTATTATGTCACCTTGCCAACTGGCCGCTTCTCAAGCCTCTGGGGTAGAACCAGCCTCGATAGAGAAGTTGGGCTGAGAGTTGTCTCATTCTGATCCCAGTTGACTAAGAACAAGCTCTGTGCCCTTGACCTAGCCTCCTAACCTCTTTGGGCTTCTTTCTACATTTATAGCATCGAAGAGCTCAGTCCTGAGACTCTTACTCCAAAGTTATGCTTTTAACTTTTAAAATTTAGAAATGGATCATACACACAGGAGACTACATAAAATGTACTGTACACTTTAAAAATTACCTATGAACAGACAGAATGCCCAGTCAAGGCAAGAAACATGGGGTGCCAGCTCCCGAAAACCTCCCCTCCCCACACTTCTCCTACAGTGCAGATCTCTGCCCCTGCTCTTTCCCCAAAGTGGGTACCAGCCCTTCCAACTTCTGAGATAATAATTTCCAGGCTTTTCCCACATGACTTGACTCACACGGATGATCCGACTCAATTTTGCCTGATTTTAAATGTTGCATATGTGGAGCCATTGGGCAGGTACCCTGGCATGAGTTGCAATTTTGTATCCACCCTGATTGTGTGTGATTTATCCATGCCACTGTGGGGTGCTTTCCTTCACTCATTTCCATTATTGTATTATATTAAGTGAATGGACTTCAAACTATGTCTTTACTAAAAATATAAGAAATTTCCAGCTTGAGCCTGGAAGAAAGACTGTGCTGGTGGTGCTGTTCTCCCAGGAACACAGCATCCTACTGCTGGAATTAGTCCTGGGCACTCTTGCTGTCATGAATTGTTGGACAGGGGCCCATATTCTGACATACTTCGATCTATGTAACAAACAGCACCTGCACTGGCTTACCCTCGTAACTATGGTATGATTTCCCTCTGGACTGACCCTTTCCACTTAAAGCAGCAAAAGCCAGCCTCAGTACCCGTGAACTGAATCAACTTTGGATTCGAAAACTTTGAAAAAGAATTACAGAAAATACCAAAAAACAAAAGTTGAATTTGGCTTGCCATGAGTACTACACTAAATCCTTAAGAATGAAATGAGGTACAAGCCCCATATTAAGTAGTCTAGAGATGATTTAAAGTATATGGGCAGTCCATAGGTTTTATGCAGTTACTCTTTATGCAAGGGACATAAGCATTTCTAGTTTGGGGTATTCAAGGAGGCTGGTGCCTGGAACTACCACCCCTCCCCCACACAAGATGCCAAGGGACAACTCTGAATGCATGACTGCTCCCAAAGTCTCCAAGGGCCAGAAAGATGACAGCCACCCCATGAGTTAATGACAGAACTGGACTAAGCCCCTCCAGCCCTATATCACTTCCACTGCGCTCTCAGCAGGGGTTCAAGTCTTCACACCAATCAGATTAGCCATTTAGTGCCTTTGTTTTCTTTAGGCCCTGTGAAAACTGCGTAAGACAAGTAAAAGCCTCTCTGGAAAGCATTAAGAGAGATGTGTGGGTTAGTGGTATAGCTCCGCCATGTAGTGAATATGCTAGAAGGAATCAGGTGGGGCTACAGATGAAGCAAGATGCCAGAAAAGGCGGCAGGGATGGAAGAGATCTCACTTCCAGCTACAGCTTGAGTATCCGGGATGAGGCGCAAACCTTACTGGAAGATTTTGGCTTCAGCACTCCCACTTCCCGTTTTGTCCACATCACCTGCTCTGAGGACACTGGCTCATCCAGCCCTTGGGCCAGCTCTGGAGAGCACAGCATCAGCCCCTG